GCAGGATCCAGCCCTTCACTGATGTCACTGGCTGTGCCTTGTACCTCCTCTCTACTGCGACAGCTGGGGCTCCAGCGAGCGGCTGACTGCCCAGGACGAAGGGACGGAGCTCGGGCACAGGCTCAGAAGGCTCACAGGCTCCGCACCTGCCCGTGAGGTGGCTGATTCTCCTGAATGTCCTCCCGTGGCCCCCTTCCCACGAGCTCCTTCCACGAGCTCCTCAGAGGAGGCGCACACGCTGACCCAGTGCAGCGTGCCACTGGGGGGCGGAGAGTCCTCCCGACCCTGCATCCCCCTGCCACGCTGAGTCTAGACACCGTGCCCTCCAGTGCAGCGAGCCACTGGGGGGCTGAGAGTCCTCCCGACCCTGCATCCCCCTGCCACGCTGAGTCTAGACACCGTGCCCTCCAGTGCAGCGTGCCACTGGGGGGCGGAGAGTCCTCCCGACCCTGCATCTCCCTGCCACGCTGAGTCTAGACACCGTGCCCTCCAGTGCAGCGAGCCACTGTGGGGGGGGGGCGGAGAGTCCTCCCGACCCTGCATCCCCCTGCCACGTTGAGTCTAGACACCGTGCCCTCCAGTGCAGCGAGCCACTGGGGGGCGGAGAGTCCTCCCGACCCTGCATCTCCCTGCCACGCTGAGTCTAGACACCGTGCCCTCCAGTGCAGCGTGCCACTGGGGGGCGGAGAGTCCTCCCGACCCTGCATCCCCCTGCCACGTTGAGTCTAGACACCGTGCCCTCCAGTGCAGCGAGCCACTGGGGGGCTGAGAGTCCTCCCGACCCTGCATCCCCCTGCCACGCTGAGTCTGGACACCGTGCCCTCCAGTGCAGCGAGCCACTGGGGGGCGGAGAGTCCTCCCGACTCTGCATCTCCCTGCCACGCTGAGTCTAGACACCGTGCCCTCCAGTGCAGTGTGCCACTGGGGGGCGGAGAGTCCTCCCGACCCTGCATCTTCCTGCCACGCTGAGTCTAGACACCGTGCCCTCCAGTGCAGCGAGCCACTGGGGGGGGGGGCTGAGAGTCCTCCCGACCCTGCATCTCCCTGCCACGCTGAGTCTAGACACCATGCCCTCCAGTGCAGTGTGCCACTGGGGGGCGGAGAGTCCTCCCGACCCTGCATCTTCCTGCCACGCTGAGTCTAGACACCGTGCCCTCCAGTGCAGCGAGCCACTGGGTCTCCGCAGCCGCCGTAGTCCTGGCTCCCAGCCTCCCTGTCCTCCCTTCCACACAGACGTCCCGCAGGCCCTAGAGGTGCCGTCCATGGCACCCTGCCCCCAGGACCTGCATTATGCTTCCCAGCACCGTCTGGAACAGAGGCCTCTCCTCTCCAGTGTGGGCACATTTCACTCGGTCGCAGTCAAGGGGCTTGAACTGTGCTTTTGCTCAGAGAGACAAAGCACAGGGGCCAAATGCGGCTTCAGAGGTGCTGGGTCCTGGCACCGGGACACGGGGATGTCAGTCTGGCGGCGGTTCAGATAAGCTGATCCCTACTGCACCACCCCATTGCTAACAGTCTGCATCTCCTGGCAAAGGGAATGTCATCTTTAGGAGGCCGGGCGTCCTGGGCTACCTGGGCTGCTCGCCCTCTCCATGCCCCTCTGAGCAGGTCTGAAGCCCGTGCTGCACAGACCGCCCCTTCCCCGATGGTCCTGCTCCACAGGGCCGCGAATCAGAGATGTGCGCCACGGGCCCATCATATTTATCCCAGAATTTGGTTCTCTCCTCCTCTTTGTATTTTGATCTTGCTCAGATTGCGTTTGCTCCCTTGTTAGCATACAGAACAGCCTCAACTGTGTTTTGCAGAAATGAACACAAAGAGGATATGCTTGTCAATATAACTGGCTAGAAAATCTATGATTAAAAGTTATGTTACTCATTACTGTGGAAAATCAAAGTGGGAACAATGCTTACTGACCATTTTTAGAAACAATTATTGCTCATTGCTTTCTGTGATCTTTCTTAAAAACAAAGCCATAAATTGCTACATTTCCCTGAGATGGCAACACACAGAGCAATTTATATTTATGCAAAAATATCCCATTACTCATTTTTCTTTCAAATTAGTTTCTAAGAGTTTCTACCTGAAGGACTGCTAACACTGGTAATTATTTTAAGATGTGTTTGCTGTTTTACAGATTAAAACCTCCATGTTCTCAGGCTGACAGATAACTATCAATGGGGCTCATTTTCCCAAGGATAATGGTTGGAACACATGAGCCACAAAATCAATAACATGAGTGATTATTTGTGAGTGAAATCAATGGATCTAACTCCTATTAAATGTGTCCATCATGAATCAAACCATTATGATACTGGAGGCAGAGGAGACTGGAGCATGAGAGCCCCCGCTTGTCCGCCAGCGGCTCAGCCCTGGTCCTAGTGACCCAAACAGTCTCAAACTGATGCAGCAGAGCCAGGGTACAAGTCACACGGGCTCGACCAAATCAGGTCTCCCGGGGTGAGATGTCACAGGCCTGTAAAGCTGGCTGCTCTTTGTCCCTGCACCCTGAAGAGCCATCGTGACGCAGAGACAGCGGAGTGTGCACCAGCTCCGGGTGATGGGCAGTGCTGAGTGTCAATGGGTCGAATCCTCCACCTGATGCTTGTGTTTCTTCCACAGCGACTTCATTACTGCACTGCACAATGCCTGCAGGGGTGGGGCGCTCACCTCTTTCCAGGCACCCCACAACAGGACGGGCAGCAGAGCCGGGTGACAGCACAGGAGTCCCCAGGCAGAGCAGTGCCCAGCGTGTCCCCGACAGTGCTCTGCGAACAAACCATCATAATCTAAGAAGGAAGGACTTGTTTATGAGCTACATTTAAAAATGGTATCTATTAAAATTTGACATTTTAAATATTTTAGGAAACAAGGCATTTATGTTCTAGGAGATGTCACCACATATGACGAGGTAACACTGAAGCCCAACAACACTGGTCTGAGAGCCAAACCCGGCTCTCCACCGCGGAGACTGCGTGGGGCTGTGGGGCGGAAGGGGACGTGCTCTCATGGACGAGCCGAGCGGCAGCAGAACCGTCGGGACCGGGATCAAGAGCGTCGTCAGAGAAAGACAAGCACCACACGATCTCACTCACGCGTGGAATCGAAGGAACAAACTCAACTGATGAACGAAACAGATCCCAAAACATGGAAGCAGGGAACAGACTGGCCGATCCCGGGGTGGGTCGAGGTGAACCAAAGAACATGTACAGAACTCTGCGCATGACCAGCGGACGCGGACGACGGTGCGGTGAAGCCTGGGGCGGGGCGGGGCTGCTGGAGAGGCCACGGCGGGGAGGAGGGGACATCTGCAGCACTGTCAGCAATAAAAGAACACAGAGGGCAGGCGAACCCGGTGCAAGCCCTTGCTGATGCCAGCACTCGGCCCGCCGTCACAGGCAGCGAGGGCCACGCGGCCACCGTGAGGGAAGCGGGCCCGGCCTTGGAGGACCAGGGAGGTGAAGGAGGAAGTCTGGCTGCAGGGGAGGCGGCAGCACCTGCTTCTCCACAGCCGCCCTGCTCCCCGGGGAGCCGCAAGCACTACGCACAGCAGTGGGCAGCGACTCGGGCACCAGCAGCCCAGGCGCCACCCCCCCCCATTCTGAGACCCGCGTATCAGACCCGGCAGCCCAGGCGCCACCCCCCCTCCCCATTCTGAGACCCGCGTGTCAGACCCGGCAGTACAGCGGACGGAGCTGCTCCGCAGACCAGGGTCCTGCACCTGCTGAAATATGAGGTAAGTGCCCACTGCTGCCCGCTTCTGGACGGCCCGACAGCCGCCATCGGTGACTCGTCACCATTCACTCCCGAGACAGAATCTGACTCTGGTTAGGACACAAAAGGACCTTCCTATGGTCGCACTCTATCTCTAACCGGAACCAACTGGACAGTGTGCAGCTCTGAAAGCAGCGAGGAGGAAACTCGGAAGCATTCCGTTCACTCCCAGTGTTCAGACTCTCCGCAGCGCCCGTGCCCACTGACTCCCCTTGCGGCCAGCCTGGGCCCCAGAGCGCTCGTGCTGCTCGGCAGCATTTCTCTCCGCAGCGCCCGTGCCCACTGACTCCCCTTGCGGCCAGCCTGGGCCTCAGAGCGCTCGTGCCGCTCGGCAGCATTTCTCTCCGCAGCGCCCGTGCCCACTGACTCCCCTTGCGGCCAGCCTGGGCCCCAGAGCGCTCGTGCCGCTCGGCAGCATTTCTCTCCGCAGCGCCCGTGCCCACTGACTCCCCTTGCGGCCAGCCTGGGCCCCAGAGCGCTCGTGCCGCTCGGCAGCATTTCTCTCCGCAGCGCCCGTGCCCACTGACTCCCCTTGCGGCCAGCCTGGGCCCCAGAGCGCTCGTGCCGCTCGGCAGCATTTCAAGGCTCTGGCCACAGGCCCCAGGCCCCAGCTTGTTCCCTCACTTCATTCTGGGCCCCTTTCAAATACTGTCTCGTTGGAAGAGCCTCCTCTTGGCTCCTGTAAACACGGCCTTCCCGCTCCACGGTGCTGTCCGCGCTGACCCTGCGGTATTGTTACTGATACAACCGATCACCTCCTGATACCCATGTGCTTTCTGACTCTGTCACTGGAGTGTAAATTCCACGAGAATAAGCTCTGACTGCTGAGCTCACCCCTGTCTCTCCATAGCACGTGCTTCCCTGGAGCACAGCCAATGCTCAGAGACGCACGGAATGACGACGGCACGAGTGGGCGGATGAGTGATGACTGCCGCCTGCATCAACAGATGCTTTTGAACACGAGGAAAATTCACCTGCAAACAGATACGACGTCAATAATGTATACAAAGTAGTCAACAAAAAACAAAGCTATTTTATAATTTACATTTACAGTAACAGAAATAAGCTGAAAATAACTAAGAGGATAATAAATGTATTTTAAGTAATTTCCACCTCCACCCCCATCAGAATTTCATCTTCGCTCATGCCTTCAAAAAGAAATGCAACTCAACTTGGGGAGAAAAAACCATTACGAAAGGGAGGCCGAGCTCCCGGTGCGCCGGCACATGGGAGGAGCCCCACTCGTGAGACCCGCTCGACCCCAAGGGCTGCTCTGTGCACTGTCTGCACAGCTCCGCTCAGTGTCCACGCGCTGCGGGCTGGCCTGTGACTGCGGAGACCCGCTCGACCCCAAGGGCTGCTCTGCGCACTGTCTGCACAGCTCGCTCAGAGTGTCCACGCGCTGCGGGCTGGCCTGTGACTGCGGAGACCCGCTCGACCCCAAGGGCTGCTCTGTGCTCTGTCTGCACAGCTCGCTCAGAGTGTCCACGTGCTGCGGGCTGGCCTGTGACTGCGGAGACCCGCTCGACCCCAAGGGCTGCTCTGCGCACTGTCTGCACAGCTCGCTCAGAGTGTCCACGCGCTGCGGGCTGGCCTGTGACTGCGGAGACCCGCTCGACCTCAAGGGCTGCTCTGTGCTCTGTCTGCACAGCTCGCTCAGAGTGTCCACGTGCTGCGGGCTGGCCTGTGACTGCGGAGACCCGCTCGACCCCCAGGGCTGCTCTGCGCACTGTCTGCACAGCTCGCTCAGAGTGTCCACGTGCTGCGGGCTGGCCTGTGACTGCGGAGACCCGCTCGACCCCCAGGGCTGCTCTGTGCTCTGTCTGCACAGCTCGCTCAGAGTGTCCACGCGCTGCGGGCTGGCCTGTGACTGCGGAGACCCGCTCGACCCCCAGGGCTGCTCTGCGCACCGTCTGCACAGCTCCGCTCAGAGTGTCTACGCGCTGCGCGCTGGCCTGTGACTGCCGGAGCGGGGACGCCCAGGGAGACTGTTCCGATGCGTTGCATGTACTAGGATTTGGTAATACATCGAAATTGTTTGCTCACAGACGTTTTAAATCAATGGTCTATATGATACTTTCCTGACTGTTGGCCCACCATGATTTATATAGTCCCATATGAATATTTAATGTTGAATACTAATTTTCAAAAATAAATATAGTTTTCTATATGGATGGCAAATATTTTTGCTAGTTATAATCTATCTGGTTATTTATTTTAGGTACTGAATTATGAAAACCCAAAGTAGCCACCGGACCTTTCTGATTACATCAGTGCAGCAGTACAGCTCACTTAGAAAGTGGCAAACTGTGCATCCCTGTGAACATAGAAAAATACTCTTTCCTATGGACAGCAGCAAATTGTGTGCAGACAGCAACACATCTCTGAAGATTTTTAGAAGGAATTTTGTTATATGCTAGACAACTAAATATAAATCAGTAAGTCCCAAAGTATCTCATCAATTTTTTAAAAGTGGCATTGTATTTCACCCTTTTGCCTCAAATGAGGAAAATACTCTTTTCTAATTTATTTCAAGTTTAAAAAGCAGTATTCACAAAAACAAAGACTGCTGAGGCTGCTTGTGATTTCTTACTGGGGACAAGGGCACCACCGTGTCAGCGTAGCGCTGGGTGACAGGCATGCGGAACTGGAACGACACTTCAGTGGGGGGCTCCGTTATGACCGAGCCAATCGCGATGCGTAGAACTATGCTTGGTTATACCCAGGAATGAAATGCTACGTAAATATCAATTCACAGTATCAATTACTGTGCTTAGGAAAATATTATGGTAAATTGATGTCCCTGACATCCCTAATAAGTCATCACAATGACGCAAGAAATCAGAAGACTCAACTTGAACGAAATAGTAGAAAGTTGAACCCACACATGAAGTGATGTTTGAGTTTCAAGGACCCCGGAGACACTTACACCTGACCCCTTCGTGTAGCTGTCAGGAGCTGGGTCCCTGGGGGTGAAGTGGCACACAGCAGGTGAGGCAGCACAGGAGGTGAGGCGGCACACAGGTGAGGGGGCACACAGCAGGTGAGGCGGCACACAGCAGGTGAGGCAGCACACAGGTGAGGCAGCACACAGCAGGTGAGGTGGCACACAGGTGAGGCAGCACACAGCAGGTGAGGCGGCACACAGCAGGTGAGGTGGCACACAGGTGAGGCGGCACACAGCAGGTGAGGCGGCACACAGGTGAGGGGGCACACAGCAGGTGAGGCGGCACACAGCAGGTGAGGGGGCACACAGCAGGTGAGGTGGCACACAGGTGAGGCGGCACACAGGTGAGGGGGCACACAGCAGGTGAGGCGGCACACAGCAGGTGAGGGGGCACACAGCAGGTGAGGTGGCACACAGGTGAGGCGGCACACAGCAGGGGAGGCGGCACAGGAGGTGAGTGAGGCGGCACACAGCAGGTGAGGCGGCACAGGAGGTGAGGCGGCACACAGGGGAGGCGGCACACAGGGGAGGCGGCACACAGCAGGGGAGGCGGCACACAGGTGAGGGGGCACACAGCAGGTGAGGGGGCACACAGCAGGTGAGGCGGCACACAGCAGGTGAGGCGGCACACAGGTGAGGTGGCACACAGCAGGTGAGGGGGCACACAGCAGGTGAGGCGGCACACAGGTGAGGCGGCATTCAGGAGCTGAAGCTGTGCACACTCAGACACGCTGATGAACAGATGAGGCACCAGGTCTTCAAGAGGTATCCCCATACTGTTGTTTATTTCTCCCTTCTATTTCTCTTTCCTCCCTCCCTCATTCCTCTTTTCTTTTGGAAAAAACTTCCACACTCTAGCTCAGTGATTTTCACTCTTTCCATCTCAGGGCACACTAATTACCAGAACTCTGCGGCACACCCAGAAAGCAGGTGCGATGTTGATCCGTTGGCACCAGATGCTGTGTGCTGTGTCACTCGTTCAAACTGACTGTCTCCGGGAGGGGAGGGCAGTGCCCTCACTGAATAGCCAGCTATCGCACGTTTTAAAAAATTCTTGGGGCACACCAGTTGAAGACTGCTGCTCTAGTTGATCATTAAATGATATTTTGTTTATTTCAATTAAATAAACACAGTACTGAGTTTAGAAAATCTGCAAAACCAAAAAACATTTGTCATGACACTCATTCAGAAAGACGCCCTGCAAGGGGACTTGACTGCACGAGGTGGAGCTGCCCTCCAGCAGACATGTCAGAGTCTCGGGTGCAGGAAACTGCAGAGACCTCACCACAGGCCCACATCAGTCCGCCCGCTCCTGCTCCAGGAAGGTCTGCCCAGTGTAGCATCTGGGGACTCTGCAGGGGACTAAGGCTGCGCCTGCCTCTCCACAGCTCCCCCTCCCTGGGAGCCGGCTCTCCGACCTGTGTGCACGCACCTCTGCGCACGCCTGGCTCTCACGGGTGGCACGGGCAGACAGACACCTGAGAATTACAAGCTGTCAACTCCCTTTGGTCTCCTTAAGATCACCGCATCCAATATGCCAGTGTCCACGGATTTGGACGAGGTTGAAAGGGAATATTTGAGGCATCTCACTGGCCATTAAATAAACAAAACCGCTTCCCTTTTTCTCTTCAGATAGTTGTTGGGGTGAGGGAAGAGCGTACAGGGAGAGCGTGCGTCAGCCTGGTTAGTGCCAGTCGATGCAGCCTGTCGCACTAGCTGAAGACCCACAGTCCTAAGTAACCGTGTCCGAGGCAAGTACGAACACATTGAGATACTAACCAAGGCCCAGCAGGTCCCTGAGCAGCAGCCAGGCGCGCACGTGGGCGGGCCGTGCGGTGCAGGAGAATCCTCTCCAAACTTGCACTTTCCGACGCGGGCCTGTCAGCTCAGACACCGCGCCACGGCCACAATCAAGCCGTACATAATTCACACTGTCCTCACTTTACAAAACAGACAACTGAACAACTGTAACTGATTCATGTACTGTGATTTCCATTCCATTAGTCAGGATATGTATGCAAAACTGGGCTGTCAATCAGAAAACGTGTGCACGTTTCGTGTCCGCAGTGCTAACGGGAGCGGAGACCAGGCTCTGTGCTGGTCCCACAGGACCGACACACGGAGGCTGCCACGCGGGCAGACAGGTCTCTCCTGCACGTGCCCAGCTGGGGAACACAACCGGCTGCCGGGGGCCTGTGTGAGCACAGCGGCTTCGGCTGCGTCGCTGGCACCTTGTGACTCTGCTCTTCCACTCCGCTCACTCTGTCCTGGGAAGGGCCCTGTATTCAGAGTCACAGCTACACCAAAGTACTGACGTGGCTGAGTCCGAAGGTGAGAAGCGCTTCTTCCCTTCTCCACACTGACCTTCTCCACAGCGTGCCCTTCCCTGGGCGTCTTTAATTCTTGCACTTGGCGATAAGACTTGACATATCTTCTGTGTACTGAACTTTCAGATTCTTCCAACAATCAGCTTTGGTATCTTTCAGGAGCCCCCAGTCCCAGGTGGCGAGCACCATGGGTTATGTCTCGGGTGTCAACCAGCATGGACTTCGAAAGCCAGGTCTTGGGAAGTTTTGGGTCTAACTGATCATAACAGTGAGTCTCGAATAGGATGAAACACATCTTTCCCTATTCTTACCTTCATATTTGTGATTTCTATTTATTCTTTTATTAAAAGTGATCACACCACTACCTATGAATGTGAGAAGTATAAATGACTTATCAAAGGCCCAATTTTTATTAGCTGAACAAGAAATTGCTCAAATTTGACCATTTTGACCACAAAAGTGGTCACGTCACACGGTTCAGCCACATGCATCCGCAAGCTGCTCCGGAGAGGCGGTGGGCGGGGCAGTCACAGCACAGGAGGCCGGCTCCGCCTGCCTCGGGTCCAGGCTGCACATGTGCTCGCCCTGTACACTGCGTCTCCACGTCAGAGCTCGGCCGGGGGCGAGGGGCTGCCCCACACTCCCCGCCGCTGAGCAGGCCACACGCAGCGCTTCCTGCATTCAGGGTGGCGCGGCCGAGCGAGCGTCGGCGTGCTGAGGACCTGCACAGACGCCGCGGCCTCAGGGTCCCACCCCCCGCTCCATGGCCCCAAGTCCGTGGTCTCCGCTCCCTCCCTATGTAGCTGCAGTTCCGTCTGGTCCCAGACAGCCCTGGAGACAAACACCAGTTCATCCCATTCATTATACGTCGCAAAGACAACTCGGGAAGATCCTCTGAGCTGTGCAGGCCCCAGTGCCTTCCACAGTCTTCTGCGGTCACCTGGACTCCAGCCACCCGTCCAGAGGGCAGAGGCCACCCTTGCCGGCCTGTCCGCCCTGGTCCTGGCCTCTCCAGGACCCACTTCTCCCACCTGCACTCGTCTGCTCCCAGCTCCGCTCCTCCTCCCTGCCGCCCAGTGTGCACCTCAGATGTGACAGGACGCACAGGAGCGGCTGTGTGGACACTGTGCTCAGCACCTGGGCCCAGTGGTGAGCTACGAAGTCTCTGCCCTGATTCCGGTGATTTAGTCATATCAGATCATCATACAAGTACAGTTTTGTTAATTACTACATCAATGGAGAAATATAAAACATTAACACTGCACATCACAGGGGCCCAAATTGGACATGTGTTTGGGAGGGGGAGGGGAGCTGACAGAACCATCAGATTCGGCTGAGTATGTGAAAACTTACCTAGGTACACTCACTCATGCAAAAAGAAAAGGGAGGGAGGAGCATTTTGGAAACAGACGACGGTCGGGGAAGGCCCCTGGGAGAGAGCACACGAAGCAGGTAAAGGGAGATGTGAGCTGGGCTTGCTGGGGGAAAGAGGCAAGATTTGTTGTTTTCATCCTTAGACGTTCTAAGAAAAACATTACTGCTTCAGAAATTATCTCAGAAGATTTATATATATATATATATTCCTTACCCAAGGACATTTTTTCAGTTTTTGTTCAGACAGAACAGGAGGGAGAGAGAGGAAGGGAGAGAGAGAAACATCAACATAAAGGGACATATCGAGTGGCTG